TAAGTGTCTGCTGCAGCTGTTGGAGTTCTGCTTCGACAGTTTCGGGAGAACAGATCTCTCGTACTCTAGCTGCTAATTTCTGAACTAGATTTTTGTTTTATATTTAGGGGGACAAAACTGTGAAGGTTGGTGTTCTGTCCCGTCCAGGGTTTCTTTCGGAAGACCCTACGCAGGATGGATCCATCATCTTGCTTTCGCAGAAGGACATCAGGAAACGCAATTTCATCGTCTTCCTCCATCCCTGCAGTAAATTGGAGAGATGGATGCGCGTTGTTAAACTTCGAGACCAGAGCGTCAGTCTCCGCGTAAAAGCTGGTCAAACAGAAGACGTCATCCACAAATCGACCGTAAAGTGCAAGATCATTGATGGTGTCCCTTAGACTCTTTTTCTCGACCTTGCGCATAAAGACATTTGCGAGGAACGGGCCAACTGGTGAGCCCATTGCCACAACATCTATCTGTCTGTAAAATCGACAATTGCAGAGAAATTGACATTTTGCGTCCATCGCGTAAGTATTTCTTTGACGGTTTTCATGGGCATACCTATCTGGTAGTTCGTATCTCTAATAACGTCACAGAGGTAGTCTATGTTTTCTACCACGGGTACGTTGGTAAAAATTGACGATTCATCCAATGAGAGCATCCTACTTCCACCAACATTAATATTCTTTATAGCTTAAACAAACTCAAATGTGTCTTTCAGACTTCGGGGATATAAGTCACTTTTCAAGTGGCTTCAGCTTTTCTACCAGCCATTTGGCAATGACTTGATAAGGGGAGTTTCTCATATCCAACATAGGACGCAAGGGTAACCCCTATTTGTGGATTTCGGAAGGCCATACATTCTGGGAACTGTCGTGCCTACAGGTCTGAGTCTTTCAAGCTCTTTGTGAGGGCCTCCGTCCGATCCTTGTCATTCTCGGATTTTGAGAACTTCGTACAATCTGCTAGGATAGATTTTAGCCTCGCAAAATAATCATTCTTTTTCACCAGAACTATTCCGGACGCTCTGTCTGGTCTGGTGAGCACGATGTTTTCGTTTCTTCGGAGTTCTCTTAGGCTATCCAGATGAGCGTTTGTTGAGGGGCCTTTGTTCATTGGGACCTTTTTCAAATACTGCTGGCAGCAGTTCACTAGCGTCGACTTAAGATAGTCAACTTCTCGAGGCTTGGTAGATTTTAGGTCAGCAGTCTGGCTAAAGAGGCTCTCAAATGCGGTTTCTAACTCTAGTTGCCTCGGCCTTTTCCCTGCAATGCAGAACCAAGGGCCTAGAGATAGTACCTACAAGAGAGTTTTATCAAGACGCTTTGAAAAACAGTTATGCACGTTCCGCTCCAGATTGCTTGTGAGGGTTTTCGGCACTTTTAATAGTTGGAAATTTCGAAGGAGTTTAGCTCACCTGGCTTTGTTTCTTTTGTTCCTTATTGTTTGCACATATTCTTCAAACGCCTCTCTCTCGAGATTTTCAAAACAGTCGAGGACCTCTGTCCTCTGAGGCAGATTTCGCTGGAATTCCAGTATTCCCGCGTTAATCGTCTCAAGGGGACTCTCCGCATGCCATCCTAGCAATGCCGGCGAAACAGCGATATGAGTTCTTCGTAAAGTTTTCCAGTACTGCCTTCAATATTTGCCCTGGTCCATACATCCTGAGAGGAATTTGGCTGTCACGTTTGCCTCAGCATGCCTGATGTCAAACTTTAGGAATCCGTTGAGTTCCTTTAACACAGAGGAACCTTTGGACTGTCTAATTTCTGCAAATATTCCCATTCTTAAGTTGAGAAGTCAAGTTGGCAAGCATACATATGTTTTCAGCAAATCTATATAGGCTATCAAGGCTTTACATTTCCAATGATATTTACGCCCTTCGCAAATCTCATAGGTATACATACATATTCAGCATTCCTCATAAAATGAAATCCCATGTCATCCCCATGTCTTCTGCTGATGGTCACATCTATAGGTGTGAAGACTAACACGGTTAACCCTAACATTTACAATCTTACAGGCCCGGTTCCTTAGGACATGGGAGAAATCTTGGGAAAGCCAGAGTCATATGAACAAGACTGCAGAATAGAGCGGCTCTCGGTAGACAAAGCAGTTGTTTTGTCTGGTCTGGGCCTGTGCGCGCTGTTTAGAGGATATAGGGACGCCCTCCAGCCAATCAGGAGAGGGGTACAGCTCGCTAGACAAATGGCTAGACA